AAAACAAAACAAAACAAAACAAAACAAAACAAAACAAAACAAAACAAAACAAAACAAAACAAAACAAAACAAAACACACAGAGAGAGCAGGGAGGAGGAGACAAAAAGCTGCAAAGATCAAAACTCTGACAAAAAAAAAACGTTTGGAGCTTTTTATCTTTGGCGTTTTTGCCAAAGAAATGGAAACAAACAACTGGTTTTGCAACAGGAAGCTGGCAGCAAAGTTCCTTAAAATTTAAAATCTTTTCTAATTTGTCTGTTGTAAGTTTTCCCAAAGTCATCTAAAAATATAAGAACATTATGTTGAGAAACAATTACATGTAAACTGCTTTGGTGTTGGAAAGGCTGTATGTATTCCACACAATCTGGAAATATACACAGAAAAGGGTAAAACAAATGTAAATTAGGGTGTACCCCGCCTCTCGCCCTATGACAGCTGGGATAGGCTCCAGCGCCCCCCGCAACCCTGAAAAGGATAAGCGGAAGCGAATGGATGGATGGATGGACGATACTGAGACTGAGTTTATGTTTTTATTTATTTATTGCAAAGTAATAGGTTTATAGGTTATATAGCTTTATGAAACCTGAAAATAGGACAACGCTCCCACATCTAAAACACCTGGTCCTCTGATTGCATCAAACAGAAAACAGACAACCAGGGTTTAGAAAAAAAAAATGTCAGAGCACGCAAACCAGAGGCGGCCACATAACTTGATCAAGAACCTCAGGGCATGTGTAATACGTATATTCATTTATTTCTTGATCATAGTGACTGTTTTTTATGCAGCTATACCTAATTATGATTATCTACATATCACAACTTGAACTGACTTATCTCATGATTACAAAACGTTTCATTAACAATTTTAAATTAGTCTTTTTCCATAAATGCATTTTGAAGAAGAATGTGATGTAGTAAAAGTGTCACAAAGCGTCCTGGGTCCTTGATGTTAATCAAACCTGTTGTGGAATTGGGTGATTAAAACTTTGAGTTGTTTTGATGCAGATTTTTGGCAATTATATAAAACAGCATCAAAAAGAACAAGAATATGACAACTGTGTTTATATCAACAGAAGACTGCATTAATCTAATTAAATATCCTTTGTTCTTTTGCTGTTGGTGTCTCTAATGAGGAAAAGAACGAAATAAAAAAGCTCTTAAACAAAATGAAATAAGACTTCCTCATTCTGCTGAGACCGTGGAAAGAGTCCCTTCACAGGCCGGTGGCAGTTGAGAAACCAAATCCCACAACTTCAGAGTCCTAGCTTAATAATGGACACTGGGTGCCGTCATTTTGCCACGGCCCTGCTTCAGCTCCTCTGACCTTTCACCTTCTTGCATGAATGACGTGTCACTCCTCCACGTCACCTCCTGACAGCACTAAGTATGACGACACTTCCACAGTTCTGATTAAAATCCTCACCCAACCTTGGTCATACCAGCCATGACCATTGTTAGTGCTGTGGATGGCATGACCTAACAACCCAGGTTTAGGTGACCATTATATTAGGTGTGCTGGATGGAGGGTGTTTGTTTTTGTTTTTTAAAGCTATGAGAAGTTGTTTGATAAAATTATGTTTTAAAATTAAGTAAACATGTTTGTTCAGTTGCTTTCCTTCACCTATTTTAATTAAATAAAATATTTTTATGTTATTATTATTTTTTTTTTTACCAGAAATGCAGACACAAATGGAAACAATACTACATTACATCATTCTGTGATCAAACAAGACCTGATGTCCACTACATGCTTCATGTTTCTTTCAATCCCAATATTTATAAATCTATAGCAATAAAAAAAATCAAAAAAGACAAAAAAATCTTCTGTTTTTTTAGAGACTATACTTTACTATACAACAGAGAAGATGTCAAAAACAAAGAGAGAATAACAATGCACGTTCAATCATCCAGGTAAAAACAAAATCCCATAAGTTGATCCAGTTCATCTGGACGTTGTGTTTTCAGTTGGAGAAATGTTTTGTCTCTCATCCAAGTGACTTCTGCTGTTGAAGAGAGGATAAAAGAACTAAGAGACACAAGAAAACAACCAAAAAATCTTCCAGGTGAATTAAATAACTTCTTCAATGAATTGAACACACAGAGAAAAAAAGACTTCCTACTTCTTTGGCCTTGAAAGAACATGGCAAGAGAAAAATAGCATAAATGCTTTAACTATTGATAACCACGAATGTTTTGATCCACAATGAATCTCTGAATATGCTTTCAATTTCTTTTCTAAATTATTTTAACATCTTACTCACACGGGAAGACTTTTTACTTGATAGCTTTAAAACAACACATCTCTCAAATTACCAAAGAGTTTAAAGACAGATGGAAACCCGAGTTTTGCATGAAAGAACTGGAAATCAAACTCATGTCAGAATCTTTCAGCATGAATGGACAGCAGAGGGCAGCAACACCAGAGAGGGAAGAGGCGACAGATCCAGAGAGAGGAGAGGTGGCAGCCACTTTGGAAAAAAGAGAGTAAAGTGCTGTAGCTCTAAAGAGGAGGATGGTGCAGCTGCAATGTCAGGAGTCATGGCTTGTGAATGAGCTAAAGCACTTTTTAGTATTGCTTAATGTTAAATTGCTTTAATGGCAATCTGTTAAAGTGCAATTATTTGGACATATAGACATAGAGCACTTTTATTTAGATGTTTCCAATTCAGACAAAGACTTTGTCATGGCACTGATGAAATGGGCCACATCATGTGGTATTTCTATGAGTAAGACAGATTTGACAGTATCTGTCGTAGTCTAGTGCCTCAGGTTCATTGTTATGCTAAAAAATGAAGCCGTTGCCAATCATTCTCCGCTGCATACGAGCTGTCGCCACTGATTTCCAGTCCAGCTTCCTTGTTGAGTTGTTTGTTATAGATAAAGCGCTGATTTACCCCCAGAGGTGCTGTTTTTATGCTTGGATGACTCATAGGTCAGAGTTAAGTGGCTTAACAGACAAAAAAAAAAACAAAGTCTGGCTCCTTGAAATAAAATATAAAGAAATGAGGGGTTTCTGGAGCGTTTTGCACAGGTTTGACTTTATAATGCAAGTCAAGCATTGGAAAAACTAACAAACAACCTCAAATCCAAAGACTAAGATGGAGGCCACATCAGCAAAAGTAGGAAAACCAGCTGACAGTTGATATTAATTCCACCAACTAGACATGAAAATCAGTGATCTATCTTTTTTTCTATTCTGTTTAGAACACAAAGTGTTTGATAAAAAAGAATGCATAACCAATGTCTGTTTTAACTTAATACACCCAAAGCTGAACACTGAATATTTGTGGCTTTGGTTTTATTTTTGCTTCGGTATATTTCGATGTCACGTACAAAAAACAAAGAGGTATAATGTTGCCATGGATACGGTGAGACATACTACTCAACCCCTGTTTTGTATCCTTTAATTAATTAATTAACATTTTGAAAATGTCAAAGATAACACAGTTTGAGAGGCATTAGTAAGAAACACGAGAAAATTCAAGACTTCAGGATTTGTACTGCCTTTTTAGCTTTACTTAAATGAAGCGTTCAATGAATGATCATCACATAAGCCACATTACTAATAATCCTTAGTTTACATGATGGGCAAACCAACAATTTTTAGGTTAATTACGCAAGTAAAATACAAGGCTATTACATTAACAGAATTGGAAAATGATCTTTAAACTTTGTATGGTGTTTAAGGCCATTGTATTATTGTAGGCTCTACCTACGATATAAAGCGCATTAAGACAACTGTTTTTGTGATTTGACACTGTATAAATAAAATTGAACATTCAGTGTATAAATAATTAGAGATTATAAAATAAGATATTAAATACATAAAGTAAAAAAAATCCGTCTGTTTAAAGTTAATCCATAGGAACCCTTCGAAGATGATATAAAATACTGTGTGGTAAAAATACCCCAAACATTGTTTTTAGCAATATAACAGTGTTTTCTATTACAATACATGTAAACATAGTGTTGCTCTTTATTTTGCAGTAAAACTTGAGCACAGGGCCAAAGCAAAAAAATATTCATTTTTTTGCTTTGAAAGCATGACTGTGACTTGTTTTGATCTTGATATTGATTCGGCTCTATAACAGTCATTAATGGACAGTCCAGTTTCTTTGCAAGTTCAGATTTGCAATCTGAATGTTCTAATGTGATGCATCTTCCCACCTGAAGATCCACAACCTGCAAATTAACGAATCACACATTACATCACACTGCATATTATGGAGTACTATTTAATAGGTTATTTAAAAAAATACTTTAATCTGACATTCAGTCCATGTCTTGTTATTTAAATATCTATGTCATGTCCTGGGTATTTTGACCCAGTGTTTGAGTTTTGCTGTGTTTCTTGTAATTTTATATTATGTTTAAGTCCACTCGTTGTTCTAAAGGTTAATTCTTTAAAGTCTAGGTTATTCTGTTTAGATTTTGTTTATTAGATTTCCCCCTGTGTTGTTGCCCTCTGTGTGTCTGTGTTTATATAGAAGTGTACGTCCTTGTGCCCTGTTCCCCCTCCTTGTTTTATTCCATCCATGTTTCCCTCGCTCTCTCCCTCTCATCCGCCTCTTCTCCACTCCCGCATCATGTTTCCTGTTTTATTGTGAAGGTCCCGTGTTTTCATGTTCATTCAGTTCAGTCTGGTTTCCCCGGTCTTGTTATGGTTACTAGTGTCAGCTGTTTTCGTCGTGCGTTCTCACTCCCTCGTTATCTTTCTGTGTATTTATATCCACATCTCCCTCAGTTCCGTGGCGCGTCCTCCCTCTTAGCTGTGTGACACTCCCTGTTTTCGTACCATTAGTATTTTCCCAGTTTAGTTTTTGTAGCATTTTGCCTTTTTCCCAGCAATAAAACTGTGTTTTTGAGTTCACGTACGGTTTCCATGAGTTTTGCATTTGGGTCCTTCTCCTGCCTGCACACAGCTAGTTCATGACAATCTATAGAAGTTTATGTGACATAACTAAAGTTTTATCTGTCAAGTAGAAAGAAGAGTCTCACAAACATGCATTTTGTTTGTCTTTAATAGATACACATTAAAAAAATTTACAAAAAATACACTTTGGCTGTTAATACTTAATACACACAGAACTGTCCAAATGTTCAGCTGATCAACTCTTTGACAAAAGTATTATTATTATTATTTAAAAAAACAAAAAACAAAAAAAACAACAGCTAACTAAAAACCATGTACAACAGCTTTTATTTGCTCCTTTGCCCCAGGTGGTCACCACAGCTGTTAGCTCCATATGTTTGATTTGGCAGAGTTTTACACCAGAAGCTCATTTGTGAATCTGAATTTTTTGGCTGCTAAGCAAAGGTGTTAACCACTAAAACACTAGAGGTGCTAAATAAAAAATAAACAAACAAACACAAAAAAACCCCCTAAAAATCCCACACAGAAAACTATTTGCTATTGTTAATATAGTGAAATGAATATATATAGTGAAGTGAAATGAAATGAAACCATTTGATAGCAGTGTAGTAGTCGGGGGTTAGGTTTTGAAGAAGCCAAGTGAAAAACTAATCCTAGAATATGGGATTATACTCAGATCTTATCATACAGATACAATTTTTCTCATGCATATATGTGTGCATTTTTCATACTGTTAAATAGCATTGAAAAGGAGAGTAAACACTGAAGATGCCTTGCAGGATTTAGCTACATGTGTCAGAAGTAACAGTTTTTATGTGGTTGTTACTACACAGGAACAGAGCACAGCAGAGAAGCAATCATATGATAGCTGTTTAGACTGTGGTTGTTTGGAGCCTCTGCAAGATCTGTGCTGTTTTCAGTCTGTTGTGTTGGGACTAAACAGCTGATTTAGTTTTGAATGATAATGAAACATGAACCGGACTTTTGTATATCAGATAATTAAAACTGAGTTTGTGATTTAATACATGTAACTCAGAGGTCCTTAATGTTAGAAATGTAAAAATTCCCTGACTGTGTTAGAAATCTTTCTTTTTTTTATTCACTATGAGAGGGAGCACACTGTGTGACAGTGCATCAGTTAGATAACAACATACGTGTAGGTCTTGCTTGGCTTCCTCAAATGATTGCCCCAAAATAATATTGCACGACTCTACTGTTTGATAGAGACGTGTAAAGAAAGAAAAACAGCGTGGTTAATTCAAATGGTCACTGGTATTTGTATTTATTGCATAAAAACCCCTTAAAACACGAATCGACTGACTTTGTCTGTAGTTTCTATATGACATGATTTTCTGACATAATGATTATTGTAATTATGCACAAATTTGCATGTAAAATACTTGCTGATATTTACCTGCTGATCACTTTACTATTATTATATACAGGGATTTTTGCCAACATTACAGCACAAGGGTTTTAAACTAATCAACTGCATTAGCTTGTTCTATACAAAGAGTTATTGCATGCATTCAGTATTTCAGTATTAAATGCAACATCTGTTTGACTAAATTTATTTTACATTAAAAAAAACACACATTTAGGTAACTATCCAAGTACTGTATCCTATAATGAAATGTTACGAAATGTTAACACAGATGGACACACAAGTTCCTCTCTTCTGTAGATTAAATGAATTTTGTGAAATGCACACTGGACTTATAATTATATAATCAGTTATATTACAGTGAATGCAAGAAAATGAACTGGGCAGCTAGTACATTGATCCATGTGAGACTAAGTTTTGCATTCTAACCTGTTGTTCCTCGACTGGACTTTGTCGTCGGATGAATCGATGTAGCATTAACTTTAAATGACTCCTAAACTTCACACCAACAAATGCATAAAAAACGGGGTTCAGGCAACAGTGGGAGAAAGCAATGAGCCTGCACACATAAAATGCATAGTCAAGCTGGGTGCTTGCTTTACATTCAATTAATGATGGGACCACATGAGCAGGCAAGGCCCTCAAAAAGATTACAACATTGTACGGCACCCAGCCAATGAAGAACACAGTAACTATACAGAATACCAACTTGACTGCTCTGTTCTTCGTGTGAGATCTTGTTCTTGTGATTCTTTCTAGTATTTGAATGTAGCAAAAAGCCATGACTACAAAAGCAACTAGGAAGAAACCATTCTGTTGGATGACACCAACAGTTTGCCACATGGAATGATTATATTCACAGCCCTGTGACTCTTTATCTTTGTGGTGGACCTTGGTGATCGAGCTGAAGAGGAGGGAGGGCATGGCTGCTCCAGTGCTGATTATCCAAATCAGGACAGACAGAAACACCCCGGTGGAGTGTTTCGGTGTGCTGAGATCAGACAGAGGATGGACCACAGCCAGGTATCTGTAGATGGTCATGATGGTCAGGAAGAGAATGCTGCTGTAAAACCCAGTGAAGAAGATAAAAGTCACAACTTTGCAGAGAATTTCAGAAAACACCCATCCCTGGACGTGGTAAATGGCCCAGAAAGGAAGACCGACAGTGAAGACGAGGTCAGAGACGGCCAAGTTGAGGATGAAAATGTTGGTCAGAGATTTAAGATTTTCATACAAAGCCAGGATTATGAGGACAAGAATGTTTCCTGTCAGGCTCAGTGTGATCACAACAGAGAAGAAAATCGGAATGGCAAAGGATCCAAATGTCACCACTCCACTCTTATCACAGATTTCATCCTCGTAGTAATAGTCATAAGTGCTGTTTAATGGATCTTGGCTGGAATTAGTTGACATATTCTTTTCTGTCAGACCACTACCTACAAAATAAAAATAAGTAGATGACTTTAGTGACATGTTACAATAGATTTTTCTTCATGAGTAAAAAACAGCATGGAAAAGATTTCAAATAAAGTACCTTCTGCTTGATGAAATCAATAGCTTCCCAGATGAGACACCTTCTGTGGCAGCTTAAAAAGAGAATCATTTATAAACTCGTGACATTTTCAGTTTCCGCTTCTGTTTTTGTGGCCACACCTGTTTTCGCATATAGTTTTTTTTTAATTTTTTTTTGCGTTTACTTTTTTTTTTTCTCTCATATAGTAAATAGCTGACCTGTGTGCTTTTTTGGTTGTAGCATGATCCACATATTTGTGAAATGAAATTTGCCGACTTTATAACGATGGAGCTCAAAATTCTGCAATTGTTTCTTCTGTGTCTATTTTCCCCCAGAATATATCATTAGGTAAAACAATGAAATACACAACTCCAGGATACATTTGTTTTTTAGATTTTACAACCCCAATTCTAAAGAAGTTGGAACTGAAATGTTCAGTTCATTTTTATTACAACAATAAAGTGCAGATGCACAACATCTATTTTTATTATCTATTTAATATTACCTTATTGTTAGGGCTGTTTTTTGTTGTGCATCTGCACTTTATTGTTGTCAATGTCTACGCATGGGACAGTGTGAAACGTAATTTCAATTCCTTTGTATGGAAGTACATTTGAAGAAATTGACAAATAAAGTTTTCTATTCTATTCTATATCAAAGGTTTCAGACTGAGAAACTGTACGGTTCTAAGAAGAAAAAAAGGTCCCTTTGAATTTGATGGCAGCAATACATTTTACAAAAAGTTGGGATAGGACCATGTTTATCTCTCTGTAGCACCCCTTCTTGTAACAGCAGTCAGTAAATAAGTGAACATTATGGAGACTAATTTCTGGACTTTTATGAGAGGAATGTTGTCCCATTCTTTTCTGATATAGGATTCTAGCTGCTTAACAATTCTGGGTTGTTTTTGTGTCATGATTGGTCAGATGTTTGGTGAAGGACCTGAACTGCAGGCAGTGTAGTTCAGCACCTGGAATATACGTAGATGTGGTTCATTTAGCATTACCTCGCTAAACTTTTCCAAAACCTTCCCTGAGAAAAGATGTCAATTGTCTATGTCTTTTCCTTTCCTATCCCCCAGTCACATCTGTTCCAATTATAATAACTTAAAAGTTAATAATGAATGAAGGAATAAATAAATATTTTTTAAATAAATAATAATAAACATCAATCAAGTTGAAAAGTATGGCAAAGCCATAAAAATGAATCTGCTAGGCATTTTTCTTGGCCTGCAGATAATAATTCTGATTGCTAAAGTGCCAATCAGGGCAAGCAAAAACAAACAAACAAACAAACAAAGATGTCAAGCTGCTCATGCCATGGACACCAATATGTACCCCCATACCATCAGAGATGTGCTGATCACAAGCTAGATGACCCCACTCCTTTAATTGCTGTCCATCCATCCATTATTTGCTACTTCAATAAGATTTTTCTTCTTTTTCACCGAGTTTAAAACAAACAAACAAACTACAGCAAACACTGCACATTACAATTCTAACTTGTTAACAGCAGGCTGAGGCTGAGAAATGTGATCCCTTATAGTTGGAGCACACCCTCCGGTCCCCTTTCTTGAAGATGGGAACCACCACCCCGGTCTGCCAGTCCAGAGGTACTGCCCCTGATCTCTATGCAACATTGTAGAGGCGTGTCAACCAAGACAGCCCTGACTTCAGTCACCTTGGACACTAAACTTCCAAACTTTACACAGTATGTGGTCTGTCCTAGAGAGAGAATTTTAGACCTACTGCGCTAATGTCAAGGATGA